GATTTTGGTAGGGCCTATATTTTCAAATTGAGACCCCAAATTTCACAATAATCCGATTTCATAATCAGCCGCGACATCTAATATAGTATTCATTGCAATATCAGAAATGTTTAAGTTAAAATCCATTTGGTGCCTGCGTGCTAATATGTATATTAAAATAACAATCTTACTATAGTCTATATTACATTATCGATAATTTATAGTTGCCTGGGCAATAACAATATGTTAATAATAAATTTTTTTTCTAGGGGTCTACGTGATGAGTGATTTTTGGTCGAGCCCAAGAATTATCTCGTTTTAATTGACCAATCATAAAATTTTCCTACAGTATGAATTTTGCATCAATTTAACTGTGCGTACGTACTTATTTGCGCGTAAAGAAAACGAGTGTTTAAACCTACCTTAGGGAATTGATTAAAAATGACCGAAATTTTACACGCAATGAGTGATAATTCTTTCATATAGCCTCTAACTTTAACGCTAACGCTAATGTCCTAATCTACACTCAAGTACTGATTGCGGAATCTACTATTTTAAGTCAATTGATTTTTTATTGTCGGGATGATGCTGAAGTTGGATGATGTTGAAATCGGATGATGTAGAAATTTGGGGTCTCGATTTAAAAATATAAACTCTACTAAAATCCATCTATACTCTTTGATTATAAACATTAGCCCTAAACTCTAACCTAATTCTAAAAAAAAAGCTGAAAAAAAATTTTGAAAATTTCATATTAAAAAATAAGTCAAAATTTCAGCATCATTCAATTCAATTTCAGCATCATTCGATTTCAGCATCACTCGATTTCAACATCACTTCCAATATTTATTAAGATGTCATATATACTATATTTTCTCCAGACCTGTTAGAAACGAAAAATATGCATACTCTTTAAAATTTTCTTTTATAATAAAACTCTTAACCACATACTATGCCCGAGGTCTACGTATTATGGATGGAATGTAAGAGACCTGAGTCCTTATCCGGAAATTTGCTGTATTTAGTTTATTTTTATGTTAATCGCTCGCACAACCCTAAATGCAACCCCCTAAATGCTGCATCTCTTTAAAATGCAATCTTTAACTTTGGCCCATGTACTAGACTCCCATAAATGAAACTTTCTTATTGTCCTTCAAATGCAAGTTGTCAAAAAATTTGACCCCATGAATTGTATTTAGGGAGGTCTGATTGCATTTCCCTTGTGTTTCATTCCACCTAATTTTATGTGACACTACGGTAGCAAGAATTATACGTATAAGACAAACTTTATGCACATTTCTAATTTGTAACTTTTTTTGGAGGTTTTTTCTTAAAAAAAGTAACTAATACCTTTTTAATTCTGAATTTATATGCAAATTATCCTACATATTCATGTTTTATTTTTATGTAAACTCTCCTTAAAAATTTTTATGTCATAACAAACATGAAAATTCATTCTTTTTTACCATCTTATAAGTTCATATTGCTTTTTTTATATACCTCGTTTATAATTGTGTCGAGAAAAAAGGTATTAAGTCAGGACTCATGTCATCTATCACCAACTAAACCAAAAATACTTGTCGGATATTATCCCGCTTATAAACTTAATAATTCAAAACCGGGGGTAGATTTTAATATCAGCTCATCAATTAATTACTTAAACTATATTGGTATGCGAAATTAAAGCTTTAAAGTTTATTTATTTAATTACAATTAAGTTTAATAAGTTATTTAATATTTATATAGCATATGGTCCAAATGATCTTATTAATAATGCCGACAATGAAGAACCTGGTGGAGACCTACTTGGAATTCTTAACAATCAATCTTCCAAATTTGAAGATCTGTTAAACTATAAGAAAAGTAAAAATCTAACTTTTAAGGTAAGTAGTAAATGTTAAATTTACATTAAAAATACTATATAGTAACAAAATGGTCATTTTATAGATTATTCTATCCGTCTTGTTACCAACCGATGGGAATAATTTAATTAAATTCTTTAATCAGAATAAGGCATCGAATCAAACTTTTACTCAGATCCATGCTACAACTCAGACTCAAACTCTGACCTCAAGTCATACCCCGAGCCCGAGTCAGACTCAGGACTCGGGTGTTTCGGAGAGAATGCTGAGTCGGCGGGGGTTGGTATGACCCAAATAGCACACGTAACAAGAAATTCATTGAAGATTTGGTTCATACTGTTACTCAATTTAAATTTGATGGAGTAAGATTAACTGATTCATTTTATATTATCTACGTGATTATTTGGGTGTCGCCAAACGAAAACCAGTAATTCTTGAATTTCGGATTTAACACTTAACAGAGTATGGCTTATCAGCTCCGAAGAATAATATATAGTTACATCATTTCGTTGTATTGAAATCGATATTATTAGATTATACCTTTTAAAGTCCGGTAAGCCTGTATCTTGTGAAGTGAAATATCCGAAAGTCAATCCTTGGCGGCACTTATTTATTAGACAATTAATTAATTACTTTCTATATATTAACTTGTATATAGATTGATATAGATTATCCCTTCAAATTTCCGTGCGATCCTTCAATAGGATTTGGTGAAACTGATTTTTCAAATTTCATAAATGCCATATCAGCACAATTAGGTAATAAGAATTTAACAATTACGGCTGGTCAAAATCCTATAAAGGGCATAAACTCAGATAACATTGATTTTATAAATATTCAGGTAATATTTAACTTTTTTTTTCTTTATATAATAAGCGATACTATAAATATTTATTTATCATTTATAAAATTTTAGGCATTTCGTCTTAATGTAAATCACACGTATGCAAGTGCTGGAATAGATCAAATCGAGCCAATTTTGAGCTCATGGAGTGCTTTTGTAAATCCTTCAAAACTCGTTTTAGGCGTTGAATTCGGAGGCGTTGTCGAAATTGTTTCTTCTAATAATATTAAATCAGACATCGAGAGTCAACATCTTCAACCAGTAAATGACTCAAATTTTAAGCTCCCTTCTGCTAATGAACCGATTTCAGATCAATGTAAACATTCATCATATACATATTGGTCTTGGGAAATTTTAAGTAATTTATTATTATCAACTTCTTGTCCTACGAATTTAATTTCATCGTCACAATGGACCTATGGTTTTATTAGCAATGCGAAACAACCATATCTTTACCAACAACAAAACTCTTCAAA